TTTTATTATTTATGTTATTTTGTAAAATATTTACTTTTATAACATATATAATTTATATAATATAAATATATATATTTATGTTATTTAATTATATATTTTATAATAAAAATTTTTATTAAATACCTTCAAAGAGGTTGTGTTTCCAATTGTGTTTCCTTATATTGGAAACACCACTTCTTTTAGAAAATTATTATTCATTTTATTTGCTAATATATTTTATTTTCATAACATAAATAATTTGTAATAATGTAATTAATTTTTATATTTAACTAAAAGTTTGTGATTTATATATATTTAATAATTTTTAAATATATTAAATATCTTTTTAATTCAAAAATCATTGGGAGAGGTGGTGATTGCCCATTAAGAATTGCCACCTCTCTGTTTGAATTTCAGCTTGTTTGAAAAAGCTGAGTTATACATTTGGTCACCCCTAACAGCTTTCTCCCTCAGCACATGGTCCCTCCAGCTTTCTCCCTCAACTTGTGGTCCCCCCCACCCTATAGCTTGCCCCTCTTAGCTTGCCATCTCACCCCTCTCAACTTGTGGTTTCTCACCCCTTAGCTTTGCCACCTTCCTCCCTTCGCCCTTAGCTCACCCACAAACCCACAACTTGTCCACAGACCCTCAGCTCATGTAGCCCTCAGCTCATGTGTGCTTTCTCAAATTCATAGCTCACCCACGCTCCACAACTCCACAGCCCTCAGCTCATCTATCTCAGCTCACCCACATCTTCTCCCTGCTTCCTCACTTTACTCTCAGCTTGTTAGCTCAAGGTAAGTTCTTTTCATCATATTTATTTTTCCATCTCTGTCTTTATATGCTCCAAGGTCCCTACAAATTTATTTTAAATTTTTTTATCTTGTGATCCCTCATTTCTGCTCGTGCTCATATTGGTCTTCAGCTCATGGTCCCAACTTTGTTTCCTTAATTCTGATAGCCCGTGGTTCATCTTGTTCCCTCCTCATGGTACCCTTTTTTTATTATGAATTTTTTAATTGTGAATATATTATCATTTAATTTCATTTATTGATTTATTTATTGTTCAATATCAATGTGGTTGTTTGGGGCTTGAATTTACCTAAATAATTATTCATTAATTACCTAAAATAATTTTATTTTTATTATTATTTAATTTTATTTATTTATTTATCAACTATTGAATGTTAATGTGGCTGTTGGGACTTGAATTTACCTAGATAATTATTCATTAATTACCTAAAATAATTTGATTTTTATTATCATTTAATTTTATTTAATTTTTTATCAACTATGGAATATTAATGTGGTTTTTAGGACTTGAATTTACCTAAAACAATTATTTTGCATGCAAAAAAATGTTAAATTAATTCCTGATGAAATTACAATTATTAAATAGATGATTTAATACTTGAAAAATTTTCATTTTTAGTTTGTTATGTTGCCAATTTTTTTTAAAATGTCAAATTAATTTGTTCACATTTGTTCAAGTTTAATTTGTCATGTTTTTAATTAGCTAGACTGTATTCTAATTTAATTAATTAGTTGCATTAGATGTCAATGGTTGTCTATTACTTGAGTTGATGGATATAAATGAATATCAATAAGTAGAGGGTATAGACTAAATGTGGAAATTTGCTAATTGATTGTTAAAAGAATATAGGGATGTGGTGGAAGAGTTTATTACTTTTGCAATTCAGCATGTGAAAGATCCAAATAAAATTTTATGTCCTTGCTTAACTTGTTGCTATGGAAAGATAATTACTCAAATTGAATTGTTAGATTATTTAATATGTGACGGAATTGATCAAAGTTATACACGTTGAACAAGACATGGGAGAAAAATGATGTATCTAGTGAATGAGTGTATACCAATAATTACTTGTTTCATAAGATCTCTTCTTTTAATACATTTTTTTTCTATTTATCAAGGTATTTGTACATTTCTTTTTCAAAAGACACAGAGAAAGAGAATGGATTTTCATTTATTAGCTCTCATGATATTAGTCATGAGTCAACATTGAGTGCATCTGAACAAGTAAATCTTCTAAAAGAAATATTCACAAAAAATGCTGAAGTTTAAAAAAATATGTTATTCTTAATATCTTACAATATAGAGTAAGTATTTTATTAATTACTTTTTTAATTAACTGTTGTGTTAGATACCTCAATTTTATTAAGACATAATCAAAGTTTAATTTTTTTAGAAAACATTGAATTTTGATTGTTATCAATCCTGTGGCTGTTCTTTTACCTTTAATTTATTATCTCGATCCTCTATCTAAAGGTGTGCTGATAGATCATCCTAATATGTTAAGGTTATTTAATAAGTAAGTACTCCTCTAGCTTTATTTACAAATCATTTTCAACATGTTTTACTAATATCAAAGAAAACCTTAAAACTCATTAACTCTGTCTTCAAATTTAATAAGTTCTTAACTTTGCCCCTATTAAATATATATACTTTAATAACAATTTTCTCTTTCTAATATTCAATAGAGGGTAAAAGAAGAAATTTATGATGAAAATTTAATTACATGATTTATAAATAGGACTAAAAAATTTTTTCTCTCTCTGCCGTATAAATAGGACCAGAGAAAGTATTTATATTTATAAGAATCATTTTACATATTCATATATATTTGCATCAATTATCATTGATTAACCTTTTATTTTTTGTTTTGGTAGGGTATTAAACAACTTTTGTGGTTATAAAGAGCCTCCTTTTCAAGAAATAAATATTTATCAAAAAGTTATCAATGGACAAAGATTATGGTATATTAATTTATACATGAAATATTTTATTGAATTATGAAAAATAAATTTATTTACTACATAAATTTATATTATTTTTTGGTAATTTTTCAGTGCCCTTTTCAACCAAATGATAATGATTATGGGCACTACATTATGACATTCATAAAGGATGTGATCATTCATGGTCAAACTTTTATCCATTTAAGGTATGAAAATTTATCTAATTTTATTTAATTTTATTCAGATTATATAATTTTTAATTATAAATTTATATGACTTCTTCTTTTTAATATATTTTGTAGTACTTTGAGGACATAGAATGCTTGAAATATAGTGAAAAGCAAATTTATGATCTAATTGACGAGTTATTATCATTTGTTTTGAAGTTAGGATACTAAAACTTTGGTATTCGTTGTATACTTTTGTAAGATTTAAGGATTATTTTAGATATCTTGACCCAGCTAGTTAGGGAGCTTAGACATATTAATATTGTGAACTACTTTTTTGTACTTCAAATATATGTTGTATAATTTTTTATTGTATAATTGAATTATTTACAAATTTTTGAACTGATTGTATATTGTTGGATTTGTTGTTCTGGTGAAAATTTTGGTGTGTAATATTTTATAAAATTTATTTATTTTATGAGAAATGCCACCTATCTTAATTTTTACTAAAATTCATAGAGGAGGCATTTCTTCTATGAAAAGACACCACCTTTCTAAAAGAATATAGGCGGCATTTTTCTATTCCAAAAATGCCACCTATATTATTTTAAATTAAAATAAAATAAAATGATGGAGATGACGTTTGCAAATTGTAGAAACATCACCTCTGTATGATTTTTAATTTTTTAAAAATTGTTTCACAGTGATGACGTTTGTTCTTATTGAAAATGCTACCTCATTTGCAGAACACATGTGACATTTCAATATGAAATAAATGCCACATCTCTTGGGTTTTTTTTTTTTTAAAGCTGAGAGAGGTGGCATTTGCATAAAGAAATACCCTCACTCTGTCATAAGTCTTGAGGCATTTTAATAATTAATGAAATACCACCTAATATTTATTATAATATTAGATCTTATAGTATTTTATAAACATCATGAAACTAAAATTTTAAACCCTACCAAAGCTTAATTTTATAGTAGTGTGTAAATTTGCTTGTCTATACTAATCTGATGGGACAACAGAGCATTATAAATGCACAAGAATTAATGTGTAAATGAGAATAACATTCCCAAGAACTATTCTATGCTTCACTCCAACTCCAGTATCCCTTCGTCTCTCAAACTTTGTGCCTCCAATCTATGCTTTTTTACTCTCCAAATTTTCCTCAATTTTTCTATCCATCTCTATGTCCCTTTCTCTTCCTTTTTAAAGGCTCAATTAAGTTTGTCCTTCATTAATGACCCCATCAAGACAAAATTCCCTCAGATTTTCCCTCAATTAAACCCAATTCCAATAAAGTCATAATCACTTCAAATCAGAATTTAATTAATTTGACTTTTGAAATTTCTTGACTTTCCCTTAATTAAGTCAAGTTGGATGGAAACGTGATTGAAACGATTTGAGGTCAATAAAAAGGGAAAGAATTTTTTTTAATCACAAAAACACTTTTATTTCCTTATTTATTTTATTTTATTTTATTAGGCTTTTTTATTTATTTTTAATTTACATTTAAAAGGCTGGATAAAATAGAATATTCACATAGAGCCCAAGCCACAAGCAACATTTTATATTAAAAATATTTTTAAAAAATTATATGCAGGACCCACTTTGTAGAATCGTTGAGTATGTTAACGTTGGAGTGTTGGGAAAGGAAATCTTTTATGTTAAGAGACAAAAATGATACCAAGCCAAGTTCAAGGAACTCAATTATTTTTTGCCTATAGTTAACGAACAAAAATAACGCTTAACCCATTAAAATATATGGTTAATTAATCATCAAAAAAATACTCTAAAAAATATGTTCTGTATGAATTGACTGATTTTTAATTTACCTGAAACACATAATATTTTTTTTTATTAAATTGACAATAGTAATAATATTTTCTATTTAATAAACAATTCTCTTATTGAAATATAATTATTATTTTTAAAGTTAAAATTTTCTGTTAAAATGAACAACTTTTTTTGTTTTTTGTTTGTAAATCTCACTATCCAGATACAGGTTTTTGAACCAAAAATTCTTGTTTTCACACCAAAACGTGTATGCAGCTCATCCGATAGATAAGCCTTTAAAAGCCGACCCTTTCCTTGTTTCTCCCCACTCCCTCCACTCCACACAAGTCGCTTGAAGAACTTACAACTCTCACGAAGAATATGACTTGCTCTGTCTATTATATCACTTTCTTCTTCTTCTTCTTCTTCTTCTTCTTCTTGAACTATTATTGTGAGGCTCAAAATCAAAAGGCTTCAGCTCTGTATGTGTTCGGAGACTCACTTGTGGATGTTGGCAACAACAATTACCTCAAGCTTTCCATTGTGAAGGCCAACCATTTTCCTTACGGCATTGATTTTCCCTCCAAGAAACCTACCGGAAGGTTCAGTAATGGCAAAAACGCCGCAGATTTCATCGGTCAGTTCATTCAAATCTATTCGTATTTTTTAATTCATCATTCACAAGAACTTCGAATGTTCACTGTTATATGTGTCTCTCTCTGAGTGTCTATTGATTTTGATTTTGATTTTTTTGTTGTTGCTGTCCTTTTCTTTTGGATTATAGGTTATTTCGATTCTAAACTATAAGTAAAAAATCTATTTCTTTTCTTTTTTCTACTTTTTTGTTGAAGCCTTTAGTTTAGTTCTTTTATCTCATGTCACTCACCACATTTACTAATGAATATTTAACATGACGTGCATGATATCATTGCTTTATCAATTAAAATGATGTTTTCTGTCATCCTAATATTAAAATGATGTCTTTTGTATGGAATCGAAGTTTCTGGTTATATATCATATCAGATAACAACAGGTTTACATCCTGTTAGTATATCGTTGGTTCAAGAATATTTAGGATATATATATATATATATATATAGAAGAAAAAATATTTTTATCGAAAAGAAAGATAAGAGAGAACTGGTTCTTCTATATATTATCATAAAAAGAACAATAAAAAATGACATTTGGTTGAATAATGATAATATAATTTAGACTCTCTCAATTAGGATAAGTCCTGGGTCATTCTTCAATTACAATCATGCAATTGAACGACTTAAATTTGAATTATTTTTCTTTTGCTTTTTTGTTGTTTCATAAGCAAATCACTAATTTATGAAAAAAAAAATTGTCAACTTTCAGAGAAAATAAGTTTTAATTTAAGAGTTAGGTCGTTCGAATTTAATCATAACAGTGCTCTCCGATGCTAACATGTATGGCTATGCAATTTCTGACTTGTGAGTCTTTTTCTTTTGTAGTTTAGTTTATATAGCTTCGATCTATCCCTCAATATATAAACACGCACACACATCCCTTTATAAGACCACAGATAATATTTTCATATTTTGTTTGGCACCTTTGTGTAGAAGAAACCCATTTTTTATTGTAATGACATCCAGAAAGCATAAAGAGATCGGACACCCGAACATGGGAGTCATTTGGCCCCAAAAAAAAAATGAAAAAAAAAACAGAACATTGGAGTCATGAACTAACTTTCATAAAGTTTGTAAAGCTAAACTGTAAGCTTTCTCAGAAAAAAAATAGAAAAAAAAATTAAGAAAAGGAAAGTGAAATGAAAGAATCTAAAATTACACGATGGTCCAAAGAGTACGGCGAGAAAATTTATATCTTATGAAAGGCAAGGGCACTATTTAGTCCATAAATTTCTCAGTTTTGATAAAGCATGGGCGTTGTCTGTGTCTATATATGGATGTACGATTTTAAGAGATAGATTTTAAAATATTTCAAGTTTAAAATAGTCAATGAAGGATATTAATGATGGAGTTTGATATAGTTCAGGATTTATATTTTTTCTAATTTTGCAATTGTTGGTTCCATTGATGATAGTTTAAATTTTTTATTTTGGTGGTTTAATTATAAATATTTAACTTCCATTTATTTAAATCATATGTTTAATTTTAAAGAGAATGTTTCAACTTAAAATATTAAAACGTATTGTTTGTTGGTTTATGACTGGATATATGGAAGCTGAGGAATTAGGTTTGCCAACTTCACCACCTTACCTATCTCTGGTTTCTGAGTCAAAAGCCAACAAAGACAATGTTTCCATCGTGGGCGGTGCGAGCTTCGCCTCAGCAGGTGCTGGAATATTCGATGGCTCTGACCAACGTTATGTAAGTGCCCTTTAATTTTTTTTTTCTAAGAATATTTTTCACATATGTAAATGTGCGTATGTATGTGTATTAATTAATTATTTATTTTCATAATACAATTTTTAAAATTAATAAAATCTATATACTTTCTTCTGCCATAGCACAAGCCACAAAATTTCACTCCATGCATATCATCATTATTTTTAGCGTTATGCTATTTATGTACTGTGATCAAACGTGCATTTAAATTAAAAAATTTACAATTGAGATTATAATTTAACTGAGGTTAATAAATTTAGCTTTTCTCCCTAAATTTAACTGAGGTTATAAAATACTTTGATAAATTAAAAATCTTAATTTTTAAAAAAGGTAGAATTAAATGATAAAAAAAATTTAACTTTGTCTCTATTAAAAAAATTACGTATAATAATAAGGGAGGGAGTAAATTTTTGTGAATCATTTTAATATTTTTCAAGAAAAAAATAAAAAAATCAAATAGATTTAAAACAAACTAATAATTTAATAAAATAGAGATCTTGACAAATTGGCCTCTTCTTTGTCTTCCAATATCATCACCTTTCTTTTTCTCCCCCTTCCCATCTTATCTTTCACAGTGTCGTCCATAATAGCACCACACATGTCACATCTTCCCTTTTCATCTTTGTATGGATCCCTCCCTCAAAAGTCCTCTCTCACCTTCATCTCTTGCTGGCAACACCAAGTCACCAACTCCCACTACTTTTGATCTCCCGAATATCTGAGGTTTGTGTATCGCCCGAAGGATATGGCATCTGCACCCAAGTCATTTGCATGTGATCCTGATCAATTGAAGAGTGGATATTATGCAAATTCTTAAAAGATGAAGAAGCTTTGATTCTAAATTTGTCAGCAGCGTGGGTTGAGTTTGTGAGTGGTGAGCAAGTCGAATAAAGGCTAGTTTTGAATTAGGAGGAGAGAGGAAGGAAACATGTGAAAGAGACAGAAAATTTGCACAAGGCTGTGGACAAAAAGAAGAAGATAAGCAGGAGAGAGAAAAATCAGAATGCTCGTTGAGAGAGAGAGAGGGGGGGGGGAAGCTCCATCAAATAGCTTATAGCTTTAGGAAAAACGCTCATTTGAAATTAAACCGAACACTTTTGAAATTTTTTTTAATCAAAATAGAATTTAATGTATTTTTCAGCTTTCAATTGAGGCCTGGGCCACCCCAATCTTAATTAAGAGGTAATTCAAAAATGTACTAAGCTTAGTTTTGTAAATTAATTTAATTCAAAAAACTAACTTTGGAAGCTTTTCAATTATAAGAATTTATTCATTGTCTTTTTTAAACATATCTCATGTTTTTATCTCTTTATTTCTTAAATGTTTTAAAAAACATATATATCATTAGTATCATATTAAATTGATTTAATTTGGAATTGCATTTTGTGCTTGTATTGTTATTTTTATCCTACACAACCAATAATCCTTCCATTAAAAAATGTGAGACAAATTTTTGAGAAGTTGAATGTTAAAAAATATAAAGTCTTTTAAGTCTTTTAAGATATGATCCTTATTTTTTTAAAAAAATATCTCAATTGAATAGATTACTTTATAATTTTTTAGGTTCAAATACTTTATTAAATATGGATAAATATAAAAATATAGGGTTAGTTTAAACATAAATAACTACTTTATTGGGAGTGAAATTCAGTTAAAAATACCTTATATTTTTTAACAAAAGAAATATATAATTAAATTGGAACCAATTCAATAATAAATCATAAAATACTGTTTCAAGCTTAACAGATTAATTGTTATAACATCAAGTGCTAATTCATTGATCTCCCCCAAAAAAAAAAAAAAAATAACGGCTAATTCTTACGTTTACCTCGAATGATGCTAATGTTTGCCCATCTTCCCAAATCCCAAATAGGAACCTAGTTTAGCTATACATATAACTACCAAATATTACAGGCTGAGATAACAGTGAAGGTTAGGATTGATCACCCCTAGTTAATAAAAATAAGTAAATAACCAAATTCTCTCTTAAACTTTAGGTTAATTAATTAAAAATGCTTTGAAAAAAAAAAGCCTCAAAAGCACAGTTTTTTGCAATGTAAGTGGCACTATATATCTGAAATTTATTTATTGTATAAATTTAACTCTCAATGGTATAGTCTGGACCTTAATTTTAATTTTTAATTGACTAGAAAATGACACTAAAAGGAACTCAAAATGAAATAAAAGTTACTTTTTGTCATTTCATTTTCTGATCATTTGATTCACAAGTTAACTTTTGTTAACAATAAATGCTAGATTGTATAATTTTTAAAAGTTAAGAAAATAATTTGTATAATAAATAAAGTAAAGATTTATGATGTTATTAAATGTAAAGTTTATGGAGTAGTTTACTTATTTACCCAAGAAAATTTGAAATCTACAAATTGGAACTAGGTTATTGCAAAAAATTTAATGGGCAATGATATGAAAAGAATTTGGATTGTCAATTTGACGTTGATCCTATGTAATATAAAATTTGTAGAAAACTAGTACTATCTAATTAGCTGTCATATATAAACTAAAATGCGGCCAACATAAAAAATGGATTCCAGCTAATCTTTTTGGGTTCTATATTTTTCTCACTTTTTTTTTCCTGGTTAACATATATTTGAAATTATTGAAAATTGTTTGTTTGAAATTGTTAATATTCAAAAATGACATGATTGAAATTGTTTTGATTTATTTTAATTTTTGAATTAATAAATAAAGATAACACAATTAGTTAAATTGTATATTAACATAATTAAAAATTTAAATAAAAAAATTTACATTTTATTTTGGGGTCAATATTATTCTAGTTATACTTTAGAGTTTATTATTGTCATTTAAGCATTTAATTTATATCTTCCGGAGTTTATTATATATGCATTAATATAGTTAAAAACTTAATTTTTTAAAAAAATTATGACGGCTTTCAAGACGTTGAGTCATGTCGATGAGAATTGAGCTAGAAAAAAAAAAAAAATATAAATTTAGAATAAACAAGCTTATGGATTTAAAGTTTAAACCCTTGAAAACTGGGCCAGTCCTCATTACTTTCAGCTCTACACAGGCAGAACCCAATCTTGATTTTCAAATATTGCAATCTTCACAATTTAAAAAAAAAAAGTTTTTAGAAATACTTTGAATGAAAATTAAAAAATTAAATTTATTGGCAACAAATCATCTTTCCAATCTAGGACGGTTGTTTTAATTTTTTTTAAATCATTATTTCGGTATTTTCCAGAAGCAGTCAATTCCTTTGAGGAAGCAAGTGGATTACTACGTGGAAGCGCACAATGAAATGTTAAAGCAAATAGGAGAGTCAGCTTTACAGGAGCATCTCTCAAGTTCCATCTTCACCGTCGTGATTGGCAGCAACGATCTCTCCGGCTACTTCGATTCCTCCAACCTCCGTCACAAAAGCACCCCTCAGCAGTACCTGGATTCCATGCTTTTCTCCCTAAGAGCACAGCTACAGGTAACTTTAATTTAGAGCTAATAAACAATTTCAACTTTAAAATATAAGTCTAGAAACATATGAACTCTAAATTCATTTTTATTATGATATTTTTTTTAATTTTAAAAAAGGATACAACATCAAGTTAATTTTCATTATTAGTTAATTAAAAAATTATAAAAAAATAAAAAAATATAGACAAAGATCCAAAAAACTATTGAAAAAAATTTACAAAATCTTTTTAGTTATTTTCTGTAATTTTTGAAATCCTTTACTGTAATTATTTGATCAACTAATAGTTAAAGCTAACATTATTATTAACGATAAGAACAATATTATATCATTTTGAGATGTTGAAGATGAATATTGCACTGAAAATAAATTAAAGGTCTCATATGTTCTTGGATCTATAATTTAAAAACAAATTTGACATTTAATCTTTTAATTTATTTATTAATCAACTAACCATATAGTCCATATGTATATATATATATTCTTTAATAATTAAATATTATGTCTTAACCACTATTATTAAAATCGGATTGCATTGGCCGATTCAACTGGTTGAATTGGAAATCAATTTCAAATCTCATTTAGTCACTATAGAAAACTGAAACCAGTAAGACCAGCTAGCAACTAGTTGAACTGGTAATATTATTTTTATTTTTAATTCATATTTTTAAATCATAATTTATACATATTTACACCTAATAAGTATTATAAAATAAAAAAATGTAAGAAATATGTATGAATTTTATATATGTATATGTATGTATGTATATTTTAAACTTATGAATTATAAATTATTAAATAATTATATATATTTTAGATGAAAATGATATAATATTGATGGATATTATTTTTCATTATATACTATTTTGTTTGAAATTTAAACATTTATTTTTGTTACAATAGATGATTTTCTTTTACTTTAAACATACAATATTTAAAATATATTAATTTATTTATGATCAATTAGATCATACAGTTCAAACCACGATCCGACTGTAAACTAGTAACCCGACTGATTCAATAGCCAATTCAATTAATTTCATAACATGGGTTTTCACTCTAATTAACGTGGCAGAGAATATATGAGAATGGGGGACGCAAGTTTGAGATAGCAGGAATAGGGGCCGTCGGGTGCTGCCCAGCGCGTAGGTTGAAGAACAATACAGAATGTGAAGCAGAAATCAATTTCTGGGCACTCAAATACAATGAAGGCCTCAAATCAATGTTACAGGAATGGCAATCCCAGAACCATGGTCTTGCCTACACTTTCTTTGATACCTACGCCGCCAATGACGATCTCATTCTCAATCCTTCCACTCATGGTATGTCATATACTACTCACTCCCTACCATAATATTTGATTTAAAGTACAGAGCAAAGTTTAGGTTATATATATATATATATATATTCAGGTAAATATAAATTTTGGTCTCGGTACTTTACTCGTATTTGGCTTTTGATCCCTATATTTTTTTTCGGCATTTTAGGTTCTTACATTTTTATTTTTCATTATTTTCAATCCCTCTATGAGCAAAGTGTAGGAACCTTGAAAGGATCCAAAATAATAAAAAATAAAAGTATAAAAACCTAAAATATTAAAAAAATATAGAGATTAAAAGTAAAATGCAAGTAAAGTATGAGGATAAAAAATTGTGTTTATCTTATATATTCTAATTATACTCTCATGCTTTCTTTGAATGGAAAGAAAAAATGTAAAAAAATAATGTTAGGAAAGAAAATAGGAGATGATATAACTTTTCTCCATAACAGTGTGGGAGGAAGAACACATGGTGTGGAATTCATCACATTTTTCTCTAAAATTTTCTCTCGTGCGTGGAGAGATTTTGAGAGGAAAATTTGAATAAACTTGGATTTCACACACCACCCTCTCTCCCTCTCCTTGGCGTCTATGCATCTTTTCAACCGGCAACCATCATTTTCACACCTCTCCCTCGCATCCATCCCCAATCTTCCTTGTATCCATGCTTGTATTCTTTTCGTCTCGTTGGAATCTTGTGGCAAACAAAATCATTTTCTTTTTTTAAAAATATTTCATGATCATATTTTAAAAAAGTCACTTTTGACTTGTTAAATAAAACAATAATATATCCCTCTCCTTGGCGTCTATGCATCTTTTCAACCGGCAACCATCATTTTCACACCTCTCCCTCGCATCCATCCCCAATCTTCCTTGTATCCATGCTTGTATTCTTTTCGTCTCGTTGGAATCTTGTGGCAAACAAAATCATTTTCTTTTTTTAAAAATATTTCATGATCATATTTTAAAAAAGTCACTTTTGACTTGTTAAATAAAAAAATAATATATAAATTATTTTGTTTTAAAATATAATAAAAAATATTTTTTCGCCAAATAATTAATTTTAGGTGAAATATAGTGTATTCTGAAATACAGATATAGTCATTATAATATTTGATTATTTTATTACCTTTTCCTTTTGTTATGTCCATTCATATAGGGAGAGTGATAACTTGTTTTTTTAAATTTAATAATTGGCATAAAAAAAGACTTTTTACACCACTTGTTTTTACACTGTTATCAAAATCAATGTAAAATGTTAATTTTAAAGTTGTAAAACAACTTTTTTTTTTTAAGTTGTGAATCTGCCTTTTAATTATATAATATATATATATATATATATATATTTATTTATACACACATACGGTTGGTGTGACTGACAGGATTTTCTGAGGTAAGAGCAGCATGCTGTGGGCTAGGGGAGCTGAGAGCTCGGGCTCCATGCTTGCCAGTGACCAAATTTTGTTCCAACAGAAAAGATCACGTCTTCTGGGATCAGTACCATCCTACCGAAACAGCTTCTCGTATCCTCGTCGATAAAATTTTCAATGGACCATCACAATACACTTCACCAATTACTTTGAAAGAGCTTCTACACCTCTGAATTACTTGGCTTTAACCATATTAATTAAATTTCAGTCAAAAAAAACCATATTAATTAAATTCCTCTTGTTTCTTCTACGATTTAGCTTCGTCCACATTTCATATATAGCTACGCACACATGAAGAATAATGGAAAGAAATTAAATACGATTTTTAGAATTTTCATGACGAAAACCATAGGACTGGTCTAGTTCCATGGTATTTATTTATTTATTTATTTGTGACATATTTCAGTTCAACAAGTTATCATGTACGGTCAAGAAAAATTGGAGGCCTAGCTGTTCGATTGTATATTTGACTTTACTGACTGTGGGTTGAAAAATAATTATTTTGATTAGACTATTGACTAAAGCAAAATAAAAAGTAATCATTTTTTCTATAAATTTATATATCAATCAATTACATGTAATAAATACCTGTTATTTTTATATACTAAAGTTATTATTTACTAATATTTAAATTTTTATTTTTCTATACTTAAATTGTCATTTTCTCCTGTCATGATTTTCATTTTCTTATGCCAAGTTATCATCCCCCCATTTGTCACTTTTATTATGAACACAAGATATCAAATAAAGAAAATACAACTGTTGGTCTTTATACTTTTAACGTATTTTCCTATTAGTTTTCATGCTTTTATTTTGTTATTCCAAGTTCTTGAATTTTCATATGCCTGTAATGCTAATCCTCATCATCACTAGAAGAGTTAAATCTGCTAATATATACATGATTCTTTTTAATTTGTTGGTGAATTAATAAAATTATAATGAGTCGGACATTGTCTGAGTAAGATGATTACTAGTTTTTTTTTTTTTTTCTGTTTGCCCTAACTGTGTGTTTTCCACTTCTGAACACGAGCGAGAAAAAGCATTTTAAAATTAGTTAAAAATGGTCATCTAAATCGGTTTAGATAAGGGTTTTTTTTTTTTAAATTTGTCTTCTCATTTTCTAGAACTCATTATAGTTTTAACAAGTTAGTGCAAGAATTTATGCACATGGTAGTCACTGTTATGCCCTCATGATCATATTTAAAGATATAGGGACTAACTAGCAAATTAGATTTGACCAAAATCCTATTTCAAAGAAAAGCTCAACTCATGCACATGAGTATTTCTTTCATTATCTTTCTTTTAAGTCCCCATCCTTTTGTATGATGCCAAAGGGAAAGAGAAAGCTAGAATTACCATAGAAAGGGGGAGAGGGAATTTTAGCCAAACATTAAAATAGAATTTCAATTTAAAGGCTTTAACTTCTCTTCAATGAATTTGTACTCTTATTGTTATGATTATTTCATTCACTGCTTTACATTTTGGTTCATATTTCTTTTGAACTCCCATACCTAATTAAGGGGGAGCTGTTATATCTTGAATTGAGGTTGTCATTATAAAAAAAAGGAGAGAATGTTGAACTAAGTGTTTTGATAATAACAAAACATAGAGAAATATATTTATTACTTGTACAAATTGAATATCATGAATCAAGTGACAAAGCTGCTAGATATGGCAACACACCTAATAGGGGGGTGAATTGGATGTTTGAGGAATTATCAGTTCTTTTAAAACTTTGTTAGCAAAATTATGTTCAAAGGAAAGTTTAGGCAAATTTGATTTCTAAACTATGTGTGTAAGAATGCTAAAGTTATTTTTACAAGCTTAATATGTGTAATAGAGTTTAGAAACAATCTTTAAGTGCAAGTTTGAGTAAGAGCATGTGGAAATATTAGATTCAATTTCATACACTAAAACATAACATTAATTAAGGTTGTTGGAAATATAAAGAGATAAGGGAAGAGAGATTGTAAATAGTGATTTATCCTAGTTTAGCTCTTCCTCCTCTTGAGCCTATATCTAGTCCCCAAGCAACTATTTGAGATTTCTTCATTATAACACAAGTTTGAGTGAGTGTTTGCCACCTCAGTATATCCACAAGTTCAATTTAGGTACTTGTGAGCCTTTACAACAACTCGCTTTATTAGTGAGATTCTTTTCCTAAGAGAACATTCTCTCTTGATTTCAAGAGAAATCTCTCCCTCACTTTTACAAAGGTTTTGAGTATGTGAATCACTCAATTAAAACTCTTTCTAAGAGTAATGATGAGTACAATGAAGCTTTAATACTCAAATGATGTTGATACAAATGATATTGGCTCAAGAACAATGATTTTCATATAACAAGAGTAATATGATCATGAATTTCATAGTATGATGATTTCTGAGGTTAATCCCTTGTTAAGATCAATTTTGAGTGTTAAATTTATAACTCATGGAGTGAAATAAGTGTTAGAGATATCATATGACCATTTAAAGATGTTGCATGTAACCTTCTCTCATAATTGCTAGATATAGGAGAAGATTAACTAAATCATCACACTAAACATACCAAACAGTAATCAATTTACTTTGTTTAAAAAGCTTGGGCCCAAAACTTCTATTGCAAAATCATAAGAACCATAAGAAATTTGAGCAATATGTAGGGGAAATAAGTTATATGTAATCATAAGAACTAATTGCATGCCTCAAATACAAAGAAATAAGGTTAGATTATAGGCCATACACTGCGGCGACCAATACTTGTGTGCTTGACCTCCTCTATGTCATAGGTAGCGGTGTGATATGCCATGCACCATGGCACACATGACAGAAACTATTGCTATTAGAAACCAGTTCGCAGGGCGAACATTTGGCATGTGCCATTTTCATATACAACGTCCGATCGGAGTGATTCAAGCGCCCACAAGTAACTTATCATATAAGCTAACTAATGAGATAGTTTGGACACAATCCAATAGTCCAATCCAAATTTGGACATCTGGGTGAAAAAGTTACTTTTATCAAAATTTAGCATACCCACGTGTTTAAATTGATCCTATTGTCTCATTAGACCACATTAGGCCTTGAACTAAGTCCAAAAGGACATCTTACACCTGATTGATGACATTATGACACATAGATACACATGTATCACAAATTACCTACTCAGTAGCCCATTTCCACTTTTCACAACTTTTTACTATTAAGCATAATTTGAACCACTTGGCCATTTCACCATAAAATCACCACAAATTCACTTCATTCTTACCACAATCACATTTATAATATATTCACAACTATATCTTAGTCCCAACTTATCATTTCATTATATATTCACACATATGGATTAAGATTCATAAAAATTACTGCAATTCTCTCCAAACCACCACTTAATCATGCATGCAATCCCTATGGCAACTCATTTACAGCTTAACTACAAAAGACTCAGTTCATTATATAATACTCTGAGTTCACATGGCTTCAATAACTCTTAGCTAGTCTAAAGTCTTTTCCCCTGCCTTGATCATTGCTTTATCTTGTAAAATGTAACCACATAGTGGGATAAAATCTTAGTAACAGAATAACTCACTACTATTGGCTATCACATGTAACTATATAAAAGTATAACATAATATACAGTTAAACATAACATATATATATATGTTTCATTCCAAATCACAATAACATATTTCAATTCACCTCTTTCACTACTATAATAACCACTTTTCACCACTTTTTCACATATAGCATGATCATTATCAGCGGAACCTCCAAATCACCTGTACTTGAAACCATAAGCTTACCTTAGACCAATATACACTCTTATTGGCCTTGAGCTCATCTTCAATGGTAGAATACTCGGTCAAAGGTGTTCTATCTTACTTTCGGACTATGATTTCTCCTAATACATATAAAGGGTATCGTTGACTCCAACTCCGCATCACATTGATATTAAGGAGTTCAAATCTCTATCTCCGCACTGCAATAGATACTAAGGAGATAATCTCTAACACCGCATCTCGAAAGGCACTAAGGAAATATGATTCTCCAACACTATACCCTATCAGGCACTAAGGAGAATGATGTCATATGATTTTATAACTACACTCCACAGGGGTAAACCTCTAACCCTATGATCATACTTTTCGAACCTATCATAGGTTCTTAATCACCACCAATCTCATATATACACATATATACATTTATATATCAAATTACACAATTTCATTTACTTGTTTAACCAAAGTTCCTTTTCATACAATAAACATACAATGCTACAAAGCATGCTCAATTTAAAATGATTTCATATATTCCATAGCATACTCATACACAGTTACAATAAATAGTCAAACAAAAGAAGTTATTCAGTTACCTCAACTCTTCTGTCACAAGAAAGGTCACCAGTAGATTTCAATTACCACAAAAGCTCATCATAAGATTTTCTTATCAACTCACACATACGATATGCCAATCTACACAAAATTGGCATTATTAGTCAATTATTTTAAATTGACTAAAAGCATATAATTATCAACTATGGCTATAACTAGCCATTCATTCCTTTTTACTTGGCCATTCTAAACTAATTACCACCTGATTACTACTTTACATCTCTTTAAATGATCTCACTTTAGCTAAACATGATTCTCACCCCAATTCTTCACTAATTTAGGGCCAAATGGAGTGTACAAGTTCAAAGCTCCATTATTTCACCCTAAACCAGTTGTAAACCTTTAATTTAACTCCCAAAAACCTTTTTATTTCTATTGAGTAAGAATCAAACCCTTAAAATCTTCTCTATTCAATTTCTCTATAACTTATACTAAGAGAAATTTGGGTAAAATGGAAGGTAAGAGTTATATGAAGCTTACCCGATAAGTTACTCATTGAAAGTGCCTTCAAATGCTCTAAAATCTCTTGCCCTACCAAACTTTTGCTTCTTCTCTTCTCCCTCTCTTGTGTTTCTAATTTTTCCTTCTAAAATTCACCCCAGTTCATGACTTAAGAGGTCATTTTCCAATCCTCACCATGTGCACACACTTCAACCCAAAATGTGATCCTTTCACCCATATCTATCCATTCAACATCCCAATAACATAAATCATCAAATAATCATCCAAATCTCTAATCCTGCACTAATTGCCACTTTACCCCTGATTAATAGTTAATCACAGGATTATAGAATCAAGATGTTACATTGCACAGTGATTATAGCTATTGATGTAAAATCTTGTGAGCAATTAGAGCAAAATCACGTAAGGTAATGCAT